ACTAAGAGTGGAATTACCGAGAGCTCTTACTTAGCTTTAAACCTCTATATAGCTTATATACGGGGGCCTATCTAAGTACTATCCTACTTAACCTTCTTAAGAAGTATCGGATTACTAAGAGGGTATTAACTATTACTACTAATAACGTATCTAATAACGGAACATTACTCGGTAGCCTTTAAGAGGTCGTCGAATCCCTATAGCTACCTAGTAGTATACCGGTTATTCGTATACTATATATCGTATATATTATACAGCTTAGTTTAAAGGAGCTTCTTAGTTAGATAGACGCGAACCTAGGAAACGAGAGGGAAGAGATTAAATAGACCGAGAAAGGGCATATAGCTCGGTAAGAGAATAGAAAGATCGTAGATACTCTAAATAAGGTCTAGCTCTCTCTAATCTCTTACTATTATCTCTCTTTCTTTACTAATTCGCACTATATTCTAGGTTCGGAAGATAGTAGTCTACATCAACAAAAGTCCCTAGCGCCGCGAGAGCTTTATAAGGCTTTAGACGAAAGAGCCTAAGCTTATACCTATATAAGATATTCGGACACGATGGAATTCCACGTTCCTTATACTTAGGCGTACCCGGCGATTATAGTCTACCTTTAATGACTTCTATATCTAATTCAACCTCGCTGATGTAAAGATAGACAGAGATAAATAGCGATAAGTTAACTATCTTCTATTAATCACTTATCCCTTCTTTAAATTCACTTCATCTCTTTCGGCAACTACAGACGTAACTATCTATAACGTCTTTAGTATCTATAACGCCTTATTTATATATATTGATAAGGCGAAAGTGTAGCTAGCGCGAAAGAAGGTTAGTTAGAAGAGAGTGATGAAGTCCGCGCTTAACCGTGCGCGCGATAAGCTTACAGAGTATTATAGAAAGACTGATGATATTCCTAGTGATCTCTATGCAATTACGACCATCCTAGGACCACGGAACAAACTAGAGTTCTTTATAACATCTAAATAGGAACCTCACTAGGGGCCTCGCTATAAGTAGTCGCTAGAGGCTTATATTTAGCCTTACCGGTAGCGCTACGAAGAGGCACAGTCTACATTAACTCTCTAGCCTATAAGTCAAGATATCTCTAATATTAATATCCTTCTAAGACCTACTATATCTCTTTAGTTAAACGTAACGGCTCTAGATAAGATTACACGGTATCTTAGAAGTAGTAAGTTAATCTATATACCTCTTCTTATATACTCCTTCTCTTATACTAACCTCACTAGATACTATCGAAGCAACCCCTCTCGTTTTCTAGAAAGAACACCAAAATGAATATCCTATTCTAGTAAGCCTTACCCGAGACGTCCTTACAACACTAGCTAGTGATTCTGGCGTTAAGCGGTTATTTAACTCTGCGCGTAATATCTACCATTATCGCCGGGGCTCACTAAAACCGCAGACAATCAAGGAATTAATATTGTTTATATATATAATAAAATTCGACGTAGAGTCCGAGTAGCTTACCCTAGTTAATAAGTATCTTTCTACGCAAGAGAAGTAAGCAAAGAAAGAGCAGAAGGACGCCTAGAAGAAAGAGCAACAATTTGATCCAATTAGTAATAACGAGGAAGACCTATCCACTACTAAAGATTCTGCCGAAACTATCTAACTTCCTAGTGCGCGAGCGCTTAGAAAGAGAAGGGCTACCTCGGATTAGCTATTTAAACTTAACGATAATAATAAGGTTCCCCTACCTAATAATAGCCACTTAGAAGAAGGGAGGACTACTCAGAGGCGTTTATCTAGGCGTGTTCTAAAGCGCTTAAGATAGGATGAGAATTTTGTATATCTTTAATAGAAATAAGAACCACAAAAGCTATTCATAAGGCAATCAATCAATCCTCGCTTTTTCGTTAGAAATCAACAGACACTAAATAAAGAATTATTCTTTACTCCTACCTTAGAATTATATAAAATTAAATATTATTTAAAAGTAGAATACTCAAAAATATAGGCGACTTCTACATAAATTATGCATACCTTAGGGTTTAAGATATTTTGCTTCTTTACAGGACCGTAGGACCGCACCAAACCGTAGTGGTGCGGTCCCTAAAAATGTAGGACCGCCTAGCGGTCTTAAGGTCTAGGACCAAAGACCGCGCGGTACGGTCTAATGTGGTCTTAGGTGCGGTCTTTCCGGTCCCGTGCAGAGGCCTAGTCTCGCTATACTGAGCTCCGTCCGCAGATTGTACAATTCCGAAGGAAGCGTCGTACATCCTTCGCTGCTCCTGGCTAGAAGAACCGTCGAGACAGTATCGAATAGGTAGCGTCTCGCCTAGGATGCGCCGTGACGTATAAATCGTGGATCTTTTGTATGATCCCTGTGCGTAGAACCTCGTTATTAGGAATCCAGATTCGTTGTCTGAAATGAAGCACTCCTCGATCGTCTAAGTGGCACTCTAATAGGCTTATCTTAATGTCTATCTCGGCAGCGATTCGGCGCTCTCCCGTTAGCAAAGCGTGGGAGATTCGTTAGTAGATCGAGTCAGACGCCCTTGCCCTTTTCCATTCTGCCTAGAGTTCCTCTTCTTCGAAGAGGGGAATATCCCTTTCAAAGTCGATCGCTTCGTTTGATTGGTGGTCGGCTAGTTAAGGGTCTAACCGTCCTATTTTGATCTTGACCTTTTTGAGCAGGACTCGGAAGCGATTCGATAGCCTTTCGTCGGTGATACTCTATGGCATATCCTAGCTCCGTCGTGATAGTGCGTCCGGCCTCACTGCAAGCTTACCAGGGCGATAGCGGAGGTCAAAATCGAACTCTGTTAAGAGATCCGCCTAGCGTATCTGCCGTTCATTCAGATGTTGTGCTTTACCAAAGTATCGGAGGTTCTTATGGTCCGTCACGATAGTGAATCGAGGCACCATTTTCAGCTTAGGTCTCTATTCGCGTAGGGCACGTATAATCGCTAGAAGCTCCTTATCGTGGATCTCGTAGTTTGATTCTGCTGGAGATAGCTTCTAGGAGAGATAGGCGTATAGCCGTAGTTACCTATCAGGCCCGTATTGCGATAGGACCGCCCCAGTAGCCCAGCCAGAAGCGTCAGTTTCCACGACTATTTAACGATCCTCCTCGAAATAAGCTAGGATCGGTGCGTTTATAAAGAGTTCCTTTAGTTCCACGAAGGCCTATTAGCAATTATCGTCCTATTCGAAGATAGCGTCTTTCTTTATAAGCCGTGTTAAGGGTGCCGAAAGGTCGGCGAATCGGGGGATAAACGGCCGGTAGAAGTTCGCAAAACCAATAAAGCTTCGCACATCTCGTATAGACTTCGGTCTCTCCTATGCCCTAATAGCCTCTACCTTCTTTGGGTCAACATGGATCCCCTTCCCGGCTTCGACAATAAAGCCAAGGTATTTCACCGATTTCTGCTCAAACTCTGACTTCGCGATGTCACATTGCAGACCCGCGTCTATTAGTTTCTGTAGAACATCGCCGACCTTTCGGCGGTGATCCGCTAGCGTTCCGTTAGAGTAGATTATTATATCGTCGACGTATGCCGACACAAAATCATCGAGGTACTCTCGTAGCGTCTGGTTAATATACCTCTAGAACGTTACCGGTGCGTCAGTTAGCCTAAATGGAGTCACGTTCCACTCGTAGAGCCCGTATCGCGTCCGAAATACTATCTTCCATTCTTCTCTAGGGTGAATACGGATCTTATAAAAGGCCGCGATGATATCGAGCTTTATGAACTAGCGGGCGTGGCCTATGTTCCGTAACGTTTCTCGAATCAGCGGTAGAGGGTAGCGATCCTTCACTGTCCGTTCGTTCAATCCTCGGTAATCGACATAGAATCGTACGCCTCCACCTAGCTTCCTCACTAGTAAGATTGGTGCTGCTACGGGCGATTGGCTCACACGTATGAAGTTCTTCCTAAGTAGGTCCGTCAACGTCTTCCGTAGGTAAAGAAGTTCTTCCTTATTTATGCCGTAGAGAGGACTATATGGTGGTGGCTCTTCGACGCCGTTTCGGTCGCGTTTTAAGGGGATCTTATGATCGACCCCTAGTCGGTGTGGTGGTAGCTGATCAGCAAGCTACTAGCTGAAAGCCGCTATCTATCGCCAGTAGTGTTTTGGTAGCTTATCCTTTAGATCGATATACTTCTTAGGACGGAGTGCTCTCTCGATGTCGTCTAGCGAGACCCTACCGATTCGTAAGCGATTTATATCCGATACGCTCTGTATAAGTTGCTAGATAGATGGTGCCTCCGCTTAGGTAACACGTAGTGCCTTTACCCCAATAGGCCTAATAGTACGATCTACACGATTCTAACACCTCGTCCGCTCCCTAGACTTTGTGAAGATATCTAGGTATCCTTTTCTTGCTGAGTATCGCCCTTTTACGTCGTGTAACTATGGGTCTCCGAGTATTATACTGTCGCTTTGTGGTCCGATAATATAGGCGAACACACGGCCCTATTGATGGCCGTGGATATCGAGGTCGAAGTAGGTGGCGTGGGTGATTCGGTACTGATTCGGCACGACTCCGTCGAGGATTCGTGGCTATATCTTGATGCGCGGGAGGTCGAGCAACTAGACTAAGGACTCGTTTACTATTATATAATAGCGGCAGCCGCTGTCGATAAGAGCTTATGTAAATTGAATTCCATTCACTCTAGCATCGACTATAAACGGCGGTGTCTTACGTTCTAGTAGCTTTTCGACCCCCTTTCGCTCCTGCTCGCGGCTGAGAACAGGAGCTACTCTTTTCCCGATCCATCCTCGGTAGTCACATCTTCGTCGCCAGAGGCTGTTATAACGGAATCTTCGTCGCTCACAGGCTTCGATTTCTTCACTTTGACCGTACGCTCCTTTCCCTTCTTACTCGAAGCGGACGTAATTCGTGCACTACCCGGCTGTTGTGTTGGTAGTAGCGCGCACGTCCCGATAAAGTGGCCGATCTTTCTACATCGTAGGCACTTCCTATCGGCCCGCCGCTGCTCTAGTACGTCCTAGCTAACCTATTAAGCCTACCTCGGCGCTCCAGTCCTAGATCGGTGGTGTTTCGTGTGGGTTTCGGTTCGGTTTACCGATATAGTAGGCGTCCAATCTATTTCGTCGTCGTTCTGTCTAGGCGAACGCGGCCGACGCGGCCGTTCTGCCTTAGTGATATTAAGGGCATCTATATCGGAGCTTATCTCGTGTAGCCGAGAGATCAGGTCCGAAAAGGTGGCGGGAATGCCCCGATTCATCAACGAATTCGTCATTGTCTTATTAAGTGCTCCGAGGAGAATCTGTCGCTTGGCCTCGTCATGCCATTCGAGAGCGTCGGCATCAGCGAATTCCTTTTCTAGCCGTGGTAGGAACCTAGAAAAGCTCATATCTTCCGGTTGCCGAATCTGGTGGAGTCGCCTAGCTGCGCGTGCTTTGATATTCGGGTCTCTATAGATATTCTCGAGGTAGTCGAGTAAGGCCTGTGGTTCGCCAGTGTCTCGGCGGAGTTTCACAAAGGTTCCGGTGTTCTTCCATGCAAGCTTCTCTAGTCTAGAGAAGACATATATGAATTGGTCCTGAGGAGAACCAATAGCTTCGCCGTCTACACTAAGCTTGTTCTCAATCGAAATTCGCCAGGTTGGCCAGTCGCTCGTGCTTCCACCGAATGGCTTTGGGTCCGGGAGACGGGGCTTCGGTCGGTGAATAATCTCTGTTCGTGGAGGAATCGGCACCGGTTCGGTAGCCGATCGGGCTGGTGTCGCCTGTCCTTCGTTCATCGTGGTTGTCGTCGTGGCCAGTGAGGCTTGGCGCTCTAACATTGCTTCGAGACGACGCATCCGTTCTTCTTGTGCAGCTTCCTGTTGGTAGTGCCGCTCTCGTTCTTCGTTCTGCATAGCCTGGGTCTGTGCTAACTGCTGCAATAGCGTCTGCGCCCACCCAGGAGGGCTCGTCGATTCCTGGTGCTGCATAGCTGCCAGGGGTTATGTAGCGTGCCGGTAATGTGTCGGTCGCTTTTCGTCCAATGTTCTAATATACCTAGGAATTGCGATCTCCTAAGGCTTTCCAATACGTCTCGAGCGCTAAGAGTTTTATGCGCGAGGATTCCGTTCTAATCGCTATTCGTCACTGAATCACTAGAGATTCAGGGGGCTTTCCAATAAGTGCCTAGGTCGCTTTCCTAGGGCTTTTCCAATAACCAATAATACTTCTAAGTGTAGAAGGAAGCTTTTTGTATGTGAAGGGCTGAAGCAAGACTTGATTTAATCTAACTAGGCCAACATACTATTTACAAAAAGCTTAAGGAGGGGAAGTTCGTTCCGCGCGTTCTCCACGTTAATATGCCAAGGTCTCGTGATACACATGACCTATATCGGGCACTGGCCCGTGACACTATCAGTCCGAAAGGGCGTCTACTTACCGGCCGGTCGATATTTATTACTACCTTCCGTTCTGGAACAGAGCAATACCTTACATCAAGAGTATACTCTAGGGGTCAGAAAATAAGCGCGAAGGCGCCAAGATCTAACTATAAGCCATAAATAAGGAGATTGAGATTAAGAACCTCAGAGAGTTTTCTACACTAGTTAGAGAAGGCGGGATTGAGATCAAAAATTGGTATGAAGTAGGCCGTCAGCTTAAACTAGCTATACGAGATGTACTTTATTATAATTCGGTAGTAAGATATAAAGATATCCGTGACTTCGTTTGGGAAAGAATCCAAAACCGGCACTATCCGAATAGCTAGAGGGCCCGTCGTAAAGACTTTAAAGAGAAAGTGGTATAGCACAGACGTTTAGTGCCTTTTAATATAGAGATAGATACTAATGACGGTACGTACGCTAAATAATAACTAGAGAGTCTACGTATAGTGTCTTAGACGCTCCGCTCGGGATAGGAAGCCCTTATTATTACGCGTATTCCGACTAGTCACTATGAGTAAGTGCAGAAAGGGCAATAGTTACCTAAGTCGTCGTTATAATACGGTACAATAACGACATATACTATCACGGCTAATTCCGGCCCTTTCGGCACAACTTCGAATTCCAAGAGTACCTCTCAATCGTACCGTTGCCTCGCAAGGCCTTACTGCGGGATAGATCCTATTGAGTATCTTGCAGAATGTGCTAGAAGTACGCGCTAAGTAAGTTAATCACTAAGTATTACTACTAAGTGAATCCCCTACTTATAGGTTAGGTTATCTTAAAGGTGAACTGTGAAGTGTAAAGTACTAAAGGTAGTAACTAAGTAATAATATGTAATTGATCGCGAAGAACTAAATATATAATAGTAACGAGTGTCCTTATATATCTAGTCCTTCCTATTAGGCGATGAGTCGGAACTTATCACTTAATGCTATCCGGACTTATTAGTAGATAAGTCGAGCTTATCACTCGATAAGTCGTTACGTGACTGCTTGTTTGGGTAGTTCGTTATGCTAGGCAAGATCTGGTATATATATAGCTATATATATAGGATATTATCCGCCCTAAGGACACTGTGTCCTTAATCACCCTAATCGATTACTGATCGTGAGCGTGTAAAATACCCTTTTTACACGGACCTACTTTGCTCCTAGGAGTACCTTTTCTATATAATCTTACTCCTAGGAAGTATATATATAATGCTTCTTATTGGTTACACGTGACTTCTATAGGTGTCGTCCTTCTTACGGGTTTAGTTAGCTGTCGTTATCCCCCGCGGGTTCCTAACGGTCTGCCTCGTAATATCATCCCCCCTCTTCTTACGCCGGTGTCCTTAGCGGCTATAAGTAGCGTAGTTCCTAGTTCGCTCGTGCGTATGTTTCTATTTTCTTATTTTCTTCGTGATGTCGTCCTATCGTACTAACTATATCTTCTAAGGCTTCTGTCCGTAAGAACGCCTTAACTCGTCGGATCGAGGACGAAGGTTTTCGATCCGCTATTCCTTATAAACGTTACATTCGTCTAAAGAAAGTGTATATCCGTGCCGATTATTCCGACCGCTATAGTAATTATGTCCGTGGCGGTAGAGGAGTAAAGTGCACGATATTAAATCCTACCTTTACCGATACCGAATAGAGGCGGTTAGTAAAGTCTCAAAACTCCTTAGAGGAGGAGGAAGAGGCTATCCTTCTTTAGCAATAAATAATGTTAGCTAAGTTAGCCCGTCTTCGGAAGCAAAAACGCTTATTACAAAAGCGTACCGGTAATTTCATTACTCGGGACTTCAAGGAAGTCGCCGAGTTAGAAGAACTCGAGCGTCGCGAGGTTAAAGAGCGCGAACGCCTCGAAAAAGAGCGTATTAAGTCTAAATAAAAAGATCGTAAGGTAGAGAGTGCTCGGGCCGCGAACGAGGTTCCTTAATCTACTATAACGGTTAATAACCGTATCCTTACAGCGACGTTAGAGGATCCTACTCTAACTTAGTTATTAAATAACCCTTTATTTTCCTAGGCCGACCTAGACGCTTCCTAGCTTAGTGAAGTGCCCGGGTCCCCTTCCCCTATTAGTAGAACTATCGAACTAGCTAGTAGCAGCCTATTAGGTTCTCGATAGGTTCCTATATATTTTCCGAGGTATCGTATCCCTTCTATTTTATTAAGTAGTGAGGTCTTCCGCTGATTTTGTTAGTATCTAGGATTTCCTCGACCTCATATTCGTTTTCTAATATTTCTTCGACTTTAATATTAGTAGCGATTTCGGCGTTCTTAGGTGCTTTTTCTAATAATAAGATATAAAATATTACATAGATACGTCGTATACTATTAGGTAGCTTTAGTCGATAATTAAGTAGTCCTATTCTTTCTTTAATTTCGAATGGTCCTAGTTTAAGGTAGTCGAGTTTCGCGCTAGGTCGTCTAGTGCGAATATTACGTCGTAAAAGATAAACTTTCTCCCCCCTTTAAAAGTCCGGCGCCTCCTAGCGCGATTAGTCGTAGTAGAACTTTATACGTATATTAAGAAACTCGATATCCCTCGAAAGTTAGAGATATATTTACTTTAATCTAGTCGCTAGTAGTCGAGATAACTCTACGAGTGGTCGCTTACCGATTAGTTCTCCGAGAATAGTAGGATTAAACCCGTAGTTCGCGAAGAATAGTGTTTCTTTCGTGGTTACGTACATTATATTATTATATATAAATTATACTATTAGTAGTAGTCCTATCTAGTCGTTTTGCTAGTAGTTCACGTAGTGTCGTAGATACTACTCTAGAGTCTAGTTGACCTTTTCCGTTTGTCCGTTAGTTTACGGGTGGTACGCGGTAGAGAGTCTATACTTAATACCGAGTTAATCCGCTAGTGATTACTATATATTAGATATAAATAACTTATCTCTGTCCGAGGTAATCTTACTCGGTGTTCCGTGGTGCACGAATACTTATCGAAGTAGTACTTATACTATTCGCTATACGTCGATACTCTCCGTTGTCGGGATTATATATATATATTTAGTTAGTCGGTCGACGACTACCATAATTATATCGTTTCCCTCTAAGATAGGTAGTTTCGTAATAAAGTCTATAGTAATCTATTCCTAGGGTCGCTTTAGTACTTCCGCTAGTTCTATCTCTCCGTATAGTATATACCGTAAGGCCTTATTCTATTAATATAAGTCGTATTACTAGATATATTTTTTAACTTTTCTATAGAGTGCTAGAATATAATAATTTCGTGTGATTTTCTCGATTATTTTTTTAATTCCTAGGTGTCCTTACGTGGGTTCGTCGTGATACGATTTAATAATTTCCGTTTAAAGGTTTCTAGGAACGTACACTAAACTATAGATATAGACTAAGCTATTCCGAGTTAGTGTAGTGTTATTACCTAAGACCTTCTATATTAATTCGTTATAGGTAGTTACTTCTCGAATCCTTTCGATCTATTCGTCGTTCTATAATTCGCTCGTTACTACGAGCGTTTAGTGGTTATAGACGATATTCCCTTCTTAATCCGTGGTTAGGATTACGGGTACTACCTCCTTAGTTCTAAGTTCGTAGTCCGGCCGTCGACTTAGCGCGTCCGTCACTACGTTCTTAGTTCCCTTATAGTATACGATTTTAAAATCGTACTAGGCTAGTGTCTCTACGTATCTAGCTTATCGTCGTGTGAGTTTCTTTATCGTTATAAAGTAAGTTAAGTTATGGTGGTCCGTTCTAACCGTTATAGTGTACTTAGCTCCTTCTAGGTATACCCTCTATATTTAGAATGCTAACACTATAGCTAGTAGTTCCTTATCGTGGACATCGTAGTTAAGTTCTGCTAGGATTATCTTACGAGACTAAAAAGCGATAGGTCTAAGCTTACCGTCCTTTCCTAGTTATATAAGCTATGCTCCGAGTGCAAAATCTGATACGTCTATCTTCACGATAATCGGTACGTCGTAATTAAATATTGCGATAATAGCTTCTCCTACTCTTTTGTTATATATCTCTTTAAGTGCGGTGAATAACTTCTCCGCTTTATCGTCCTATTCGAATAGTACCCCTTTCTTAGTGAACCGGTAGAGTCCTACTATATATTTCGAGTATTACGGCACTAATTTTCGGTAGTAGTTAGCTAGTCTAAGAAAACTCTATACGTCCTTAATATATATTAGTATTAGCTATTCGAGAATGTTTCTGACCTTATCTTCCTCTATCCCTAGCCCGTCCGGACTGATAGTGTATCCGAGAAAACTAGTGTTCTAAACGTGGAATTCGCATTTCTTAAGCTTAAATATAACCTTTGCTTCCCTTAACCGTTATAGTACTATTTTGTTGTGTTAGACGTATTCTTCCTTAGTCTTTAAAAACACGAGGATATCATCGAGATATACGATGACGAACTTATCGAGGTACCCGTTTAAAACGTGAAAGATAAATCGTTAAAACGATACTAGTGCGTTAGTGAGACCGAATAGTATAACCTTATATTCGAAATATCTAAACTTAGTCCTAAATGCTGTTTTCCACTCGTCTCCTTTCCTAATTCTAAGTCGGTTATATACATTAGTGATGTCGTACTTACTAAAGTATTTTACTCCTTAAATAATATCTTGAATTTCGTTAATTAACGGTAGTAGGTACCGGTCTTTAATAGTATTATCGTTAAGTTATCGGTAGTTAACGTATATTCTAAGTTCTCCTCCC